AGAAGCATTGCAAGAAAGGATGTGGGATCTGCTGCTGTCAGATGCCAACTTTAGGAAACGGAATTTTTAAATGTATTTTTATTTTTGTTTGTTTATCATGTAGTTTTCTCAGAATGATTATTCAAATGGACAGGTCATTAGAGACTAAATCTTCCTCTTTGTCTGCAGTTTCCCTTCCAGGATTACAAATGAGAGAGAGAAAAAAACCTACAAAGCTAAAAACTACAAGCCTAGGAAGCAACTTGAAAGATGCTTCTTGCATGACTGTAGGCTGACAACCACACATTCTTGCAGATCTCTATATTTCTTGAGCTTCAGTCAGCATTTTACATTAACACCTGCCAGTCATAAACCAGTCCAGCTACATCCTTGATGATTTTACTCACTAAATTACTTACTGTACACACTAAATACTATCCACCCATAATCCTCTTCTAGAGCAGTTTACCTAGACATTCTTTCTTTTCTAAATCTGTCCATCCAGCTGTTCCCCTGTTTGAGGTACAGGAATACAGAAAGAACACAAGGCTCTATTTATCCATAAAATTCTTTTTCTATATGTGTTAATATTTATAGAAACAAAAGGACATTTGTGAGAAGACTACAGGGAATCCCTGGAAGCAATCTCTGTAAAAAGTAGAGTCAAATGTCATGGTAGGATTAAAACATTACCTGAATAACTTCAGTACTATTATAACTTTAATTGCTATGCAAATAGCAGTGAGGATAATTATTATGTGCTCCATTTAGAGCTACACACAATCAGTACTCAAACTGATGCAGAATCCATTGACACAGATCTTAGTTAAGCTCTTGTATTATAGCCACACTCTTTGGGATCTCTGGAGGCCAAGGTACACACTATGCATCATGTGTTATTAAAGCACTTGTCATACTTCTTGAAAGAAAATGATACCTCCACTTCTCTGAGTGGAGTTTCATTGCATGTATTCTTTGAAGTTTTCTGTGTCAGCATCTGTTTTGTATTACATATGCATATATTCCTTGTACATATGTCCCTTGTATCAATGTGTATATGCCTTAGTATTTGGAGACTTTCCTTAAAATAAATGAAAAAATAATAATATGTCTTTAATATTCAATATTTCCTTGGAAAATATTATCAAAGGCTGAAGCATTCCTTGGTGAAAGAAATGAATCCATCTTCCTAATGTGCCAAAAGATGCTTGTGAACTGAATAAATTTACTACACTCAGTAGAGCCAAGTTGTAATTCATGGGTGCAACTACCAGCTGAACTATCTAGAATTCCTTACTATTGCAGTAGGAAGTGCAGGTACAGTGCAAGTACGATGTTTCATCTGTTTCAACCCATTCAACTTGAAAAAAAATAATTCACAGCAGACATCTAAGCCAGATTTTACCCCCTTTTCTTCCCATAAACTAACACTGGATTTATTTTTTTTTCCTAGCAATCTGTTACATGCCTTTGTTTGGTTGCTGCATTGTGAAAAAAAAATGTTAGCCTCTGGGTTTACTGCTGACTGCTTGGTGTGACTTTTTAGGGACCATCCACTCTTGCTGCAGGAAGGTCAGGTCAGTGACGGTAACTTGCAGGGTATGTTGCTTTCATTTCTATGGCTGGATGATCTTCATAAACTATTTCCATATCTTCATAAACTATTTCCATATCTACATATAGCAAACTCCATTTGGTCTCAGCCCAAATCCTTGCCCCAAAAGCTTGGAAAGGGCTTTTCCCCTGTTAAATGTGGCATGTTTCAGAGGGAAGAATTTATAGTATTTTAAATTCAAGCAAATCCATTATTCATCCAGCCTGCCATCTATCTCAGAGGCTGACAAATTTCTCCTGACCACACATGTAAGGAGCCCAAGACACAAGCTGCTCAGGGAGGTCCACTATCTTTGGGGATAGGGGAGGTCTACAATCGTTCATGGCACTGGGAATTTCAGAGAAGGAGCTAATTTGAAGCACATTTTGTATGGAAAATAAAACCTAGTATTATATACTGAGTGTGAGAGAAAAGCCCTTGGTAGAGCCTGAGACATCATACATCTTGAAAGGTTTGGGAACTAAAGAGAAATTGATGGCTTCAACATCTCCTCAAACAGGACCTGGACAGTGAAGAAGATATGGGTGAAGTGAATAAAGGTGTGCACCGGGGAAATGAGCCCTGCAGTGCCATTCTGAAGCAGAAGGAGCATGACGGCTTCCCACTGGCCTGTCTACAAGATAATCAAGACAGTGAAATGGGAGGAGCCTTAAATGTCAGCTGCTGGATAGGAAAAAGCAGAATACATGGATGTCAGGAAGGCAGGTTCAGAAATAAAACAGTTGAACCAAACACCCCAGCCGCACAGTGCCTCTTCATATCCTCCACTACACTCTGTGCTACAGCCCCTGCACCAAGCGTATCCTCTGTCATTCCCAATGGCCTCCATTTCCTTGTTAAGAGCACATTTGCTGCCATGGAGGGTGTTTAGACTTGCCAGTAGATGCCTGTGCTCATAAGCTGAAACACACTGTCAGAAAGACGTTAAATAATATGGTGCAAATCTGTGTTCACAGACATTATCTGTAGAAAGCAACAAAGAAAAGTACCCCTTCCCTGTGAAGGTCAGCCAATTTACTAAAGAACTTGATGCTCATCTGTCCCTGGATCTTTCTTCTCTGTTTATTCTTTCTATTTCAAATCAGAATCTTAAGACATTTAACCATAATGACTTCTTTCACTGATACACTTTTAAATCAAAGGTTACAAGAAGGTGTCCAGGGGCAGATATGGGACTATCTCTTTATCAGCAAGTGCTGCTTTGGAGCCCTCTATCTTGTCCCCATATTCATACTTCAGCTCTGCCAGGGTTGATTAGAGTAGTACTAGAACACTACTAGAACTAACAGAAGTAGTAAGGGAAATCCCAGTCAGACACAAAGAGAACATTATCCACAGTGGGGGTGGCCAAACACAGGAGCAGAGATCCAGAGAGGCTGGGAGATTTCCCTCCTTGGAGACTGCATGAACTTGACTGGAGAAGTCCTTGAGCAACATCATCAGAGCTCAGAGCTGCCCTAGCTTTGAACAGGAAGTTGGACCACATGATGTCCAGAGGTTCCTTTCAAACAATGGCACTTAAGATATAAGTCTTAAGGCACCATGGTTCTGCCATGCATCTTTTCTTGGGGATGCCCATGCTCCTTGACACAGGTCTCACTCCTTGACATCAGCTCTGGCTCATGCATCTCTAATGACACAGTTCCAGTTACACAATCTCACTGTCACCCTACAGACTCACATCGCTCTAAGCCTGCCTGGTCTTTCCCACAGTATCTTCTGTCCTTAACAGGATCTTTCAATAGGTATCATTTTGTCCGTGGAGCATGGTACTTCACTGTGTCCCTGCCTTTACTTGGTCAGTTTTTGTTTTCATTTTGTGTTAAATTAAATAAATCTCTACTAATCTGAAAGATCTGAGGCAGCAGGTGAGGTGCCAACCTTACAAAAACTTCTCTCTTGATATCATGACTTTGATACATCCTATGTTCTCCTGGTCGGGGAACTTCTAGAGGAAAAAGGGAAGAGTGCACAGCACTGTGCAGAAAGGCCATCAAGCTGTGAGCCAAGCTTTGCAAAAAGAAAAATGAGCCTCTACTGTAGTTACGCAGGGCAGAGAATTTGAGTTACTAAAGAAAGTAGTATCCAGTCTGTTTCTCAATTTCTAATTTTTTTCTCTCCAATTGACAAAGAAGAGGAACAAATGATGCCATTTCAGGTGGTTTACTATTGTTCCCTTTGACATTCTCCCCTAAAAATTGTAGTGAGTCTTCCCTGCATACTTATAGATCACAGAGTCATGGAAAGATATAATTTGGAAGGGACCTCTGAAGTCCATCTGGTCCAAACTCCTGCTCAGCAGGTCTAATTTCAAACCTAGATCAGATAAGCCCAGTCCCTGTCCAGTCAAGTTCAGAAAATCTCCAAGGATGGAGGTGACACACCCTCTCTGGGAACCTCTTCCAATATTTGACCACCCTGCCTGTAACTTATGACCATTGCTTCTTGTCCTTTCACTATATACCTCTGAGAGTCTGGCTCTATCTTCTCCCTAGCACCTTTATGCAATGAGAGACTGTAATTGGATTCTCCTTAGCTCAGTTGTCAGAGTCTGTCCCTGTAAATCAAGTGCTCCAGCATCTTGGTGGCTCACCCCTTGACCAGTTTTAGTATTTATGCGGTTTATGGGATTTTTTTTTTTTACTGGGGAGCCCAAAGTTGTACATAGTACTCCAGCTACATACTCACAAGTGATGGGGAGAAAAGAATCATCACCTCCTTCACCCTCTTAGCTACACTCTAGTTAGGTTGGTCCTTATGTGGTTAGCCTTTGCCTCAAGGGCTCACTTCTCTTACTTGTTAAATCCTGTCTGTGTCTTTTTCCCCACAGTCTGATTTCCCACTTCTCCCTCTGAGTAGATGACATTAGACTCTGGACAGCACTTCCTGACTCTTCTGTGTCATTAAATATCTTCAGCAGCTATTTGCAGCTGCAAACTTTGCTCTCAGTTGAATACAGACACCTAGATTTTTAGCCCTTAACACTCAATAATGAAAAAGGCACAGAGCTGAAGTTAGTCTGCTTCTGAGATGAATCAAGATGTTTGTTCTGTTCAAAATGTGGAAAGTTCAAAGGAAATCAAAGTCATGGGATGGCTAAATGGAAAACAGGGGAACTACCAGGCCATACATTTTCTGGGACTCATGTCGTTCCTTTGAGTCTCTAGAGCTGGGGATGCAGATCAGGGCTGAGATATGATGGGTTAGAAGAGAGCAGTTCTCCCCCTGAGGGAGGAAAAGGAGGAGTCACATGTAACACTTGAATATGAGTATCTTGCCTTAGGGCATTTGAAGTATGACTCATTCTACTCATTCTCCTATCCCCTTCGTCTTTCTGCTTTTCTTTTTGCTACTCCTTCACAAATCATTCTGTCTGTCTTTTAAGAGGATTGTTATTGAACCATGGATGAGTTCTCAGGTAATGCATATGAATACAGAGGAAGAGGACGGGTACTCTAATTTAAATCACTCCCCACAACATTCAGCCAGACGCTACATGTCCCTGAACATCAACCAAGGTATGACTGATGCTTGCTCTTTGAACTTTCTGCACTATGGTAGACAATGACAATAGGAACAGTCTGTCTTGTCCAGCTCAGTAAATAAGAAAAATATGTACTTACAGGTTCAATGTTATAGGTTTATTGCACTATTTGTATCGTTTTTCTGACAAAAACCAGCATGCATGAATGTGAAAAAGAATTAAGTGGAGCTACTGCCATTTTTTGCCTTAAATTTCTGTAGGAAAAGACAGGTGGCTTCAGGATCAAACTCCGGAATGTAGGAATCAGCTTTAATATGGTTAGCTTTATTTGTTGTTTATTTATTATTACAGGAAATGGCTATAAAGACCAGACAAACTGACTTTAATACAAAAATAACTTTCCCATTTTGCCTTCTGGACCTTAATTTTTCAGAAAACGCTGAAGATTCATAGCCTTTAAGGACAGAAGGGATGAGGCAGCACCAGGCCTGAATGCATAGGTCATGTCATTTCCTTTCTTCAACTCCCATAGGTCTGGTTTGGCTAAACCATGTACTCCAAGAGGGCATCCAGTCTTGACTTAAATAGTTCTTCGTCTGAAAGGTCCATCATGCTGCGTTGCCATGGCCATTTGGTGATGGTAACTCTCAGGAACTTTTGAATCCAGGGAAACCTCAGTGGATATTTTGGACTCTAGAATTTTCCTGAACTGGGCTTCAACCTAGAGCTGGTGTGCAGCCTGAGTACTGTGTGCCCTGAGAGCAGGAAGGATTTGTGCAAAGTCTAAGATGGTATGCAAACACTTCCTTACTCTGTTCTGACAGAGCAGAGTAATACAATACTGTGCGAGGAGAACAGGAGCATCACCTACTTCTAAAGACAAATGATCCCTACAATGTTTCATAGTTTCAACATTTATCCAAGGCAAGGTACCCCCCACCTGCTCCATTTAAACTAGTGTCTCCTTTCAAACAGACCTTTTTGACAGAGGCACCACATCTTCTTCTTAACTTGCATTTGAGTTGATCCTTAAAGTAGAATACAGCCTGGAAGGGGAACTCTTTTGAGGCTCACCAGGTGGCTTTTCATGGAAGGGTTTGTAGTGCTGCTCAACAGGGTGCCTGCCCTTATATAAATTTCTGGTTTCTCCCAGGGCGGTCTCTTCCCTTTGCTGTATGGTGGCCAGCTATCTTCACACTGTTTGCGCTGTGCCTGGCCCTCACCATAGGAATGATAGTCCTAGATAAGTGTTGAAATATACTGTTTTCCTTTATTCATATTAACACGTTGAGAATAACTGCATTGAAGGAAGGTGGCAGACTGATTGCAACAAGGACAGTCATAGCTCATCCTCCCCACATATACTGTCCTTTCCTCTCCTCTTAATTGCCTGCAGTGAACACTGCAGGCTGGTGCATGTGAGTCTTTGAGGGAAGTAATTTTTATGAAGTCTGGACCTGTGCTGAAAGCAAGGATATAGAAATCAAGATGATATATTTTGGAAAGAATGGATTCTGTCTGCATCCATCTATTACTAATTTATTAGCTAATTTGAATTCAATTATAAAATTCTAATGTTGACTTTCATAAATCAGTTTCTCTTTTCCCTTCTCCTCCTCCCTTGTTGTTCAAGTCTAGAATAGCAGTTCTTGTCTCATTCCTTTGATAAACCTTTCATGTTTGTAGACTACTGTCTTAAATTAGTTCCTACTAGTATGTTAAAAATTGACATATTTCTAGCACTTTGGTTCATGAGGAAATCTCACTTTTTCTGTCTGTTTCACTCAGTCATCCCAGTTTACTTGAGACATGCAAGAGAAATGAAGACTCTCATATTTATATTAGGTTTTATCACATGATGCAACTGTATCTATACTTTCTATCCCAGGGCCTGGACAGTTATCCTAAGCCTTTGCTGCCAAAAGCTAGTATCTAAATACTGTTGAGGAAGATATATAAAAAATCTCTCTCCGCTTTCTTCAGAGAACTTTTACCAGCCTTTAAGAATAAAAAGTTTCTTCAACTTGAATTATGTTTACAATTTTAGGGTTTTTTCAAAGGCTTATAAAACTTCCTTTAAGATCAACATGATTAGTTCAAGACAGTCCTTCCTAAGTTTTTTGGGGTTTTTCTGCATTATTTTAGTCTTTTATCAGGTACCAAGTGGCTTGCAATGGCACTGTGACTAAACTGCATTTAAAATTTGGAAATTTCTTTATCCATCATTTTCTCCTCACAGTATGTGACACTGTAGGATCAGAGTTGCATGTGAGCACACTGTTGCAAAAAGTGAATTTGCAATATATGATGAAGCAAGTATCATTCAGTAGCGTCGTCACACCTTTTTTGTCTCATGAAGAATATCTTTACAAACTCCAGGTCTCAGAGTTTCTAAGGCACCTGCGGGACGTAATGAAAACTTGCAAGGACTAAAGGAGAAATTGTGCTTGATGGGTGATGCAAAGAGTAAGAATGATAGTAAGTAGAACTACTACTCACACAGCCTAAAATTGATGTGTTAGGTCTTATATCAGATTAAACAAGGCTTTTATATGCTATATCAGATTAAATAATGAGTTTAAAAATAAAAAAGAATGAGTGTAGATGTGACCCATAAAGCCATATACATTTCAGCGCTGCATAACTTTGACTTTCCAGGCCTATACGTGTAGACTCGTCTACTCTTCCTTTGGCTGTTTACAAGGGACTGATGGTTTCTTTCTGTTCTAGGACCTGCATGCTCGCTCTGCCCTGTAAACTGGAAATGGGTTGGAGGTGATACCTGTTTCTACTTTTCAGAAAAGGAGGCCACGTGGCAGGAAAGTTGTGGTGGTTTGGTCCTGGCCAGATGCCAGGTACTCACCAAAGCCACTCTATCACTCTCACCCCCTCAGCTGGACAGGGGAGAGAAAATATAACAGGCACGTGGGTCAGATAAAGACAGTTTAATGAAGCAAAGAGCCGCGCGCGGAAGCAAAGGCAAAACAAAAGATCTTATTCTCTACTTCCCATCAGCAGGCGATGTCCAGCCACTTTCTGGGAAGCAGGGCTCCGGTACGCGTAGCGGTTGCTCTGGATGACAAACGCAAAACAAATGTCCCCCCCTTCTTCCTGTTTTCCCCAGCTTATATTGCTGAGCAGACATCATGTGGTATGGAATATCCCTTTGGCCAGTCTGGGTCAGCTGTCCTGGCCATATCCCCTCCCAAGTTTTTACCCACCTCCAGCCTACTGGGGAAATGTTGGGGAAACAGCCTTGATGCTGTGTGAGCCCTATACAGTAGCAGTCAAAACACTGGTGTGTTATCTAGCTACCACTGCACAGCACGGTGAGGGCTGCATCTCAGGCAGACCCATTACAAAATGCAGACTTTTGCTTCTCCCAGAACGCCACCCTTCTTAAGCTGAAAAGAAAAAGCAAGTTGGTATGGTTCCAATCATATTGGTGTGTCTTTGCATTGGTATCAACTACTCAAAAACTCCTCACCAATCAGCAAGTACCTCTTGATGTTACATAGCAATAGAGGTACTGTACCCAAGGTCTGAGTCAATGTAGACTTCAGAACACTTGTCCACAAATGTGTAATGATGAGGTCATTAGCAACACAGGGTATTATTCAGCCGAATAGTGGACATGAGTTTCATGGATCCTGTGAAAGTTATAAGCAGTGAGTCTTTCATTCAGGAAATCTCTTTGATCACTTTGCGAAACAGAGGTCTAAAGATAATTGTTGCCCTGGTGTTACATTTAGTAGAGATGCCAGACATAAAATATTCCTGTTTACACGCCAAATAGAGACGTTGTCTCCTGGAAACTGTTATGAGGGCCTGATAACGAGTTCAAGGAGTCTTTGCCAAATTACCTCCTTTGGTTCTTTCTCGATCACCTCCTCTCAACAGTAGTTTTTTAGGTACCACAACAACAAAAAAAAAACCAAAAAACCAAACAAAACAAAACCCAGAAACCTGCTCCTTGGTGATAAAAGTTTTGCATTTTTTATAGATTATCATATCTCAAATATCACAAAAACTATCTTATTGGTTTGGATTATCACATGGAGTTGATGGCTGGTCTTGGATAGATGATACAAAACTTTCTATAAAGAGAATGGACTGGTAAGTTTTCTGAACTTAAATAGTTGGCGGTTTTTAATCCCTTGTACAATATCCTCCCTGTGCACTGAAGGAGAAGGAAACTAAAATCACACTAATGGCAAAGCTTCAAGGCAGAAAACAGCCACAGGTTTATTTGGGATTAAAATACTCTTTTAGGTGTGGAGTCCCTGAAATAAAGAAAGTCTCAGAAAACTGGAAGTGTGAACAGAAGAAGACGACAACAATGTAACCAGTGACTGCTCTATTTAAACCCATTCGCTTTATGAAACATCCCATGACTCCCTAAGAAGCAACCCACACTTCCTTCAAGACATCACACCTCCTGTAAAGCTTGCCTGCACCTGCCTCTGCTACTCAGTCACAATTATCCCAAATTCACTTCTCTCTTCCATCAATGTTTTGAAACCCTTATTACAGAAAAATAGTAAATATTAGGTTCAGAGAACCTGTTTACTTTTTCTGTAAAATCTCATCAGCTTACTCAGTGATGAGTCTTCTCTGACTTCTCTTTGTAAAGATAGGCTAACCGCTGATAACAAGTATTTACAGCCCTCTCTTCAGCACACTCACTTTCATTTATTCTATATTACTCTAAAACTCCAAGGCAAGCTCTCCTCTCCTTTACTACTCAAAGATATGTAGCTCCCTTGTTGACTGCTTGGCAGTGAAGCATCACTTAACATCCTTATCCTCTTTTTGACTGGGTATAGTATATGAATTTTAGATATGTTCAGATTTTACTTCCAGATAATGATGCTTTTCCTTTACATGCATTAATATGATCTTCCAAGAATGCCCAGAAGTCAGCGTTAAATGAGTTTTAAAAAACAGTTATGCTATTATCATAATCACCATTGCAGTTATGCAGGGAAAATGGGAATAATGATTGGATTTTTCCAAGAAAGCCATCTGAGGGCCGTTAGTCTTCACCTAACATAAAATATGTCCATCCCTTTACCTAATCCATCTCATCATTTGAAAGGATGGGTATGTGGCATGAATAGCTAACACATTGAATGAATGTGGCATGAATGGCTGCAGTGGTATCTGGAATCATGTGATGGTATTCAGAAAAGTATTAATTGCTGAATGGGGAACTGGATTTTTTAATGTATTGGAAACCACGTATTTTTAGTATCATATATTATTTTTCTTTTAGAATGTATGACTTTCTAAATCTAAGTAACTGTATCTGGTGTATCTTGTTCAGAATCCTGAGGGGAGGGAGGTGGGTAAAAAGCAAGCCCACAACCCTGGACTTCAGGATAGCAGACTATGGCCTCTTCAAAGATCTGCTCAGAAGAGTACCATGGGCTAAGGTGCTGGAGGGAAGAGGGGCCCAAGAAAGTTGATTAATATTCAAGGATTACCTCCTTCAAGCTCAAGAGTGGTCCACCCCAGCAAGTAG